GCCAATTAAGAGTACTGTGCATCCAAGCATTATGGAGTATAAATCACATGCCAACAGTGACTACTGGCAGGTAGTAGAGATGCAACATTATTTAAACAGTGGGATAATAACATAAATAGAATTTTACCCTTTCAAGTGACAACACATTAGAAATCACTTCATACTCTCAAAACAAAAACAAATCAAATCCAAACTTTTCATTTTGATTTAACACATGGTATGCTTAATGGTTCCAGTACTTCTAATTCTTTTTAATAAGTGTTACAAACTGAAAGATGGGTAGCTGCTAAAAATATATTGTAATATCTTAAACCTACCATTCCCTACTGATGGAAATACAGTGATGGCAATTAAAAGTAAAAAAGATGATTAAAAGTTAAGGTCTGAGAGGCTAAGAAGTCATGTTAGACTATATCAATCATTTTTACCATTGTGGGTAACCGGTTAGAAGTAAAAAAATAAAAATCTAGTAGTTTAGTTGTGGTCCAGGAAAGAGTCAGTGGGGACGGGGTAGGTTTCAGCAACATGCTGGTAGAAAAACAGAGACTTACATAGTCTGGGAGGGCAGTGAAATGGAGGGCGTGGCAACCTCGCTCACTTAGTGGTCATTTTTTGAGTTTCAATGACTTTTTTTTCATTCTTTCGCCTAGTAAAGATGACAGAAGGTCCTAATTTATTATCTGAAATCTACTTCTGTTCCTAGATATAAGAGAGTTTAACTGTACACAGTCATATCATCCAAATACAAATACTTTGATTCAAAGAGATGTTCATGCATTCCATAGAATCACTACCACACCCCCAAAGCACAGTTCGGGATTCGGGGAGAAGAATCAACTGCACAGCCTGGGCACTGCATGGCCAGAAGCTTGGCTGGTTGTGGTCTCCTCAGGGTAATGCAGCAGAGCCCAAGAAAAGCTATTGTTTTCCCCAGCAATGCTCTGCTCCCCAGACTATAGACAAATGTCTGGATGAACCTCTTCAGCAGTCTTCTGGGTGACAATGCTAGAAGAGCCTGTCAAAATACACATCAGACCAATGATAGGTGCTCTAGACTTCAGGTGCTTCCTGCTGTGGCCAAGGACAGTGCTATCAGTACTTTTGTCTAGTATGGCCTGGAGGGGTTGTCAGGGTTAGAATGCGATTAAAAGTAGGGCGTGTAAGCCAGGCTTGGAGATATAGCCCTGTATCCAGGAAGGAGATACAGGAGGATTGCCACAAGTTCAAGGCCACTTTGGCCTACATAATAAGTTTGCGGCCAGTCCAGTCTACATAGGGTGTGAAGCCCATCTTCCCAAAGCAAAAGACCCGCATCAACTTCTATGTCTGTAAATTATGCTAGCCCATAGTACCTGACATTCCCTACTGCTGTCTGGCTAGAGGGCTGAAAGTGCCCAGAACATCCTTAGGAATCGACAAATGAGGAGGCAGTAGCCATTGAATTCTGTGAGGAGAACCACCTGGGTGGGGAAAGCTCTTGAAAAAGATCACTGGTGTATTTAAAGGATTAAATGAGTGGGACCAAAACAAAAGAGACTTTTTATAAGAGGAAAAAGATGGGATGGGGGGCACTAATCCTGATAAAACGCCGGCCATGCTTAAGTCATCTTCTGGCTTTGGGGATGTTGCTGAGCAGTGGGACCCCAGAGTTTGCATTTTAATTCATCACTGACAGAATCCCACATGTGCTGTAAGATGAATGACTTCTCATTTTCGTACATTCTCAAGCAGAGTCTTTCATGGGTGTGTGGTAGTCATAGAATTTTTTGACTATGGCTACTGTCTTTGGGCTTTCCAAACAGTGAACTGATCTTGCTATGGAGGCATTTACAGACTGCTGTTGAACTGATCTTGCTATGGGGCCATTTGCAGACTGCTATGGTAGGAGCACAGAAAGAACATTTCTCTGCAGCACAGCCACCAGTGTGACACTAAGAGAGGCAGAGGTGCATTTCCAGAGAGCCCTGTCCTTCCTACTTTGACTGAGAACATGTGCACAGGAGCAGCTGCTACAAGAGTAGGGATGTGCTTCCCTAGTCCAGGCCCACACAGCACACATGGCTGAGTATGGATGAAGTCAGCATCGAGGAGAGGCTTGCCCTCCTATAGTTTCCTTAGCTTCCGGCTCTGCTGGCTGCTGCTGGTGTGTGGCATACAGGTACTCCTGAAGAAATGTAGGGAGGAAGTGTGAGTCTGATCTTGAGGGTTTGGTGAGAGACAGTTATTCTTTCCCATAGGGTGTTGGTTTCTCTGAATTTATCAGGATAGGGAAGACTACCAAGTTGTCCAAACCTTGGCATCTGCTTTCCCCAATGAGAAAGGGAAATTCTGACATGGATCCTGAAATTCCCATTCCAGCGGTAGCCACTAAGCAATCTGTGAAACTTTCTCTCTCTTTTCCTTTTTATTTCATTCTTTCGTGTGTGTGTGTGTGTGTGTGTGTGTGTGTGTGTTCCTTTTTATTTCATTCTTTCGTGTGTGTGTGTGTGTGTGTGTGTGTGTCTGTCTGTCTGTCTGTCCTGGAACTCACTATGTAGATTAGGCTGGCCTCAAACTCAGAGATTGACCTGTCTCTGCCACCCAAGTGGTGGAATTTAAGGCATGTGCCACCCAGCCTAACTCATCCAGGAGTTTTCAAATTCATTTCATGTATATGTTTTATGCAGTGTTAAGACTGAGATGGGTGGGTGGGGTAGCACCATGGTCAAGGTTTCTGCTACAGGCTATGCTGCTCTTTCTTGTCTAAGGGGAAAAGTGGGCCCTGCAAGGCAAGGCCTCTACTGCTGGTGGATCTGATTTAAACCACGAATTTTCACTGAGCTATCACTGCACAAATCTCTCTTAAATATTAGCTCTTTTTATTCTTTGAGTTTCTGTTTCATAAAAAGTCAGTTCATTTTTCTCCAGCTCTGGTGATCTACATTCCTTCCTCTCCAGAGCATGTTGGTCCTGCTAGCCTCTACCCTAGTCCCTTTAATTGGTGGGACACTTGGGAAGGGATAGTAATGTTTAAAACAAGGAAGAAAATAACTTTGCAGGAATTCATCTTATTATGATCATGCTTAGATGAAATATGGGGCTTGCCATCAGCAAAATTACAAAACAATTCCTCTGGGAGACCAGACCATTCCTAGTAATTCATCTATGAAAAAATGAACTTTAATTGTTACTCTTGGCAGCCGTCTAAGAGAAGAGAGAAATATTATACTAAATATTGCCACGTGCAATAGTAAAATACAATTTCCTCCTTGCCAGAAGCAGTGTACAGTCCCTTGAAATCCACGTTTGGGTCTGCTGATTTAGTTTAAATCCCCTCTTTTCCCCTCTCCAAAACTAACAGAGGATTTCCAAAGAGCTGAGTGCTTTATCAGAACCATTTGCTCTTTTTAAGTTGCCAAAAAAGAGTAAGTAAAACTGGGAAGTTTATTTGGGTTAAAGTTGATTCTTCAGCTTCATTGAGGTCATTGTACTTTGTCTGTGAGGCCCCTCTGCTAAGAAGGTCCCTCCAGCCAAGGTTACATGTTGGTCCCTTTCCCCCAAGTGCAGCTCATGGCTTTATCTAGTAGGACTTAGAAGCAGGCTGGCACTAATCAACATGAAACATATATATGGCAATTTACATCCTATTTTTTTTAAGAGCTGGAATTTTCAATAATTTTCATATTGCCCATATGATTGCAATTTTGAGACTGCAGCATCTTCACATTGGCTTCTCAGAGAGGGATAGCAACAGGTGTTTACAGTTCTTTAGTATAAGGAGCACACTGACATACATGCTGCTCTGTGTAGTGCACAGCCAAGGGAAGGCCCACACTTGCAGAGCAGAGGGATACTCTTTTGCTAAATAAAGAGTGAATTATGCAAAAACATTAAGTAACTGGTCATACATGCTGAATACATGATGGATTCATGAGTCCTGATTAAGGATGAGTTTACCACGAGCTATCTGCAAAGAATTTTAAATGGATTCACATTTTGGCATAAGTATCTAAGTATAGCAAACATAGTATCCTAAGAGAATATTAAACTCCTATGTATTATATCATGTAGATGACATTCAGATGCCATAATGCTTAAATGCAGATCTTACAATGAATGATTTCCTCAGGATTAGTCATCATTTTTCCGTGGTCCGAGTGCCAGAACTGCCACTGGTAACATACTCCCTATCTGTAGAATACTGTTTTCTCCATAGAGGGATACGTTATGGTCTAACATTATTTGGGAAAAAATTTGAGACTGTAGCTGGATATAAAGTAATTATTTTTATAACTCCATAGGTTAGAATTTAGGTCATTTGCAACTTGAGTAAACATACTCTTTTTTTTTTTTTAAGAAATGCTTTATGTAATTACTTTCTATTTATTATGGTACATATTATTTGTGACAATAAAGATGATGGCTACTGTTAGGAAGAGTACTCGAAGGACATATAACTTGCTTCAGCTCTGGGAAGAAACATTCTGTGTTTGTTCTAGGGACTGCACGCTAGGAAATGCATCAGCACTTTGGGTTTATTTGTAAAACTATGTCTGCTTTTTGGCTTGTGGCAGTCTTAAAGCTAGTTAAAGTAATCCATTACAGAATGCATAGCTTAATTGCTAGACTACAGTGAGAAATGTATGCCAGTTATTATATATGAAGAAGTAAAGATAAAGACCTTAAAAACACATAGTTATAAAAATACCACTTGGAGAATCAACGACAGCAAATACTAAGGCAGTCAGGAGTCCCAAAGGCCAGTTATACTTGGGAGTTGGCTGACTCTTTAAAAACTTGACCTATGATGTGGGAAGCATGGGAAATCTGCCATGTGTGTATACTTCTAATTAAAAAAAATTCAATCTGCCTTTTATGTACTAAAAGACCAAAGAGCTCTTCATGTGTGAGCACAAAATTTAAAGATTTGTTTGAAGGGTTCCATTTCCTGCTCTCCATTTAAAATTGGGGAAAAATAAAAAAATATTTTGCCTGTGACAGAATATGAAAGAAGTTCTCACCCTTAAAACCAGCAGCATTGGTTTTCCAGTCATTAGCGTTCAAATGTCCCGCACGGGAAGTCCTGACAATAACATGCTGTACGTCTCTCCAGGTCAGAAACGGACTGGGGAAAGACAAGGTAAGAATCATTGTACCAAAAAAAAAAAAGATGGGGGAAGCAGAGAGTCACAAGCAAATTCAAAAAGCAAAATCAAAATGGCAAAGTACTAAAAACAGGGGACAGAGATGTGGGTTTGGGATAATCAAATGCCAACTGCCACTCCTGCTCTCAGTGTGGAGACATGATGTCAGTCTGTGAGCAGCAGAAAATGTAACTGTAAGGAGAAGTACTATGCTCGAAGTCAGTACGTCAGTACAGCTCAGTGGTCAGACGGTGAGGGTTTCCCACTTCCTCAACAAAATGGCTGCTCACTAGAGACCTACGGTCCTCTGAGTGAGAGTATGCACCATCAGACACATCGAAGTCCAAAGAGAAGGCCCCTGGAACATCCCTCCTTTAATTGTATGATTAGGCAGTTAATTTGCAGTTTACTAAAGATATAAACATTTCACCTTCTATCTAAATATACGTGTGAGATCTGGCTCTACGGTGCAGAGGATAGGAGAGCACTCTTGCTTTGATCACACGGAAGAGCACAAGGCAACGACTGAACAGGCCACACTTGTTTGAGAACTGAAAATGCAATGAAAACAAACCCAAGAACAGCATAACACAGTCTGGGTCCACAGTCTGGGTCCCTTTCAAAGAACACAAGTACACAAACAGACACTAGACATAGTGGGGACACGAGTGCATTCTTCAGTCTTGAAGTCTGAGATGTGTTGATCTTAAAAAAAAAATTCATTATTTTCTCATTTATTTACCTTTCTCTGTGATCTCCAGTGCTACCGGGTGTGTGTATAGAGGATGACTTTCAGGAATTGGTTCTCTTTCTATACTGTGGGTTCTGGGATCAAACTCAGGTCATTAGGCTTAGAGGTGAAACCCTTACACACAGTGCTATCTCACCACCTCTATTATCTTTCACCTGAAAGTTCTGGTAATAATTATCACATGGCCTTTGTCATCATTTTCATCATTTTCACCCCCCCCCCACCTTCATTTTAGGAGAATTTGTAAGATTCAACAACCTGGAGAGTGTTCACTTAAGAACTCTGTGGAAGTTACCTGACACCCACCTCACACACTCACATCCCAGTGCCGAGGGAGGGAGAACTTATCAACTGTGACTAACAGTTAATGGTGATGTCATTGTTTTGCTTCTAGCTACTTTTTGTCCCAACCACAGCTACCACATGTGCAATTTGGTCAGCTCTCCTCCCCACCCCCCCAAAATAAGTCACATAGTAATCAGACGGCAGCTCTTTCCTTTTCTATGTGAAATTAATCTCTACAAAGAATTAATTTCCTCAGTTAGAATGCAGATGCCACTAATCAGTTAAAGTAATGCTAACTACTCCATGGGGTGCCTGGTGCACAACAAGCTCTTGGGAGGAGGAGGCAGCTTGTCATTTTGTTCAGATAACCTGTTGCTCTTATTTGGAGATCTGAATATGAAGAAAGCAGGGAAAGACAAGAACTATTGAGTGTAGATATCTTTTCCTCATGCTCTCTCTCTGCCTGAAAAAATGATCTGAGAGCTAGTACCAACCACCACTGCCATGTTTTCAGAGGCTAAGACCAGAATGACTTTTGAAAGGTTATGTCAGTGAAAGGCTTGACTTGGCCCTTTGTTGTTCTGCACTGAATTCACATGATAACTCAGAAGACTCATTGCAGTGCTGTCAGGGATGTGCAGAAACCCACTCTGAATGCTGTTCTCAACATAAATATCTGCTTTGCCTGAGATACGATGTTCACAGTGAACTTCCTTTTTGGTGCGCCTGCTTAAGAGCAGGGCAAAAGCCTCAACAAAAGGCCCAGCTTGGACAGACATTCCAGCTGCTCACTTATGGTTTTCCATAGTGTTCCCCAAACAAATAGACATTTTTTTCATGTGTAAACAGCATAACAATGAAAAGTACACATGGGTTTGATGATTGTATCTGCCTAAACCAACCTAGCAATTTAAAGATAATTCTAAGTTATCTTTAACCACACAGGTAGACCTTCCATATTTTAAACATTACCCTTCAGGAAAACAGAAATGAAGTAAGTTTTCTATGTTTCCTGCAAGACTCAGAAAAACTCAGCATAGGATTCTGAACATTGGAGACACACATTTATGTTTAGTTCACTAAGTGCTAAAATATAAAAGTCATTCAACGTGGAACACTTATCTTGTACCTGAAGCGGCTGTGTTCTGGCAGATGGAGGAAGTCTCCTGCATTCAACTCAACCCGAAGAAATTGCTTGAGTTACTTGCTCTCATGTTGAGTTACAAAAACTAGTTTCTGGAATATTTGTAATTAGAAAACCCAGCATCAGAATTGGAAAGAGGTGGCTGGATAATCTTACTTTGACACCTGGTAATGCGTGCATCAAAATATACAAATAAGAAAATAAGGGACATCAGTGGATTTGGAATAAGTGGCACTCTGTCTGTGTCAAGAAAACTAACTAATGAGCTCAGGAAATAGGGGCAGCTTAACCGAGGTAGATGGTAGACTGTAGTCATTGGAAGTATAGATGGTAGACTGTAGTCACTGGGAGTACAGACAGTAGACTGCAGTAACTGGAAGTACTTGAAGGACTCCTGACTATGCAGATGCATGATTTGCATTTTCATATTCTCACTTATGGTCCCAGGACTGATGTACAGGTGAAGACCATGTCAGACTTTCAAAGATTTGGTAAGAGAACATTCTGGTACGTACACACATTGAAAGCTGAGTACACTTCCCAGGGAAAGCCCCAGGCACAACAATAATACAGGATCTCTTGGAAATCACATCCTTCCACAAATACCTTTGGTCTAGATTCCTCTGGACTCAAAACCCCAAACATCCCATTCTGAAAAGCAGACAGACTGAGTGCAACTAGAAAGAGTTACAAGAGAGAGGGCAACTGTTTAGCTGACCGAAAGGGAGAAGATGGCTCATGTTGAGCTTGCTAGTCACCACCCTCTAAGAGCTACAGTGGCTACATCCTGTGATCACCACTAGTTACACTTCAACAATATATAGCAAAAAGTAGTTCCCTGTGATCTTTCAAAGTGCTGAAATGTACTTGACTTCCTGAGAAGTTCTGGAAAAGCCATGTTTCTCACTTGAAAAGTTTTTCCTCTTTGCTTGACATTGTAATAATAAACAACATTGAGAGAGTAATGGCTAAGACCAGGCCCTGTGTGCTATGTGCAGCATATTGTTGCGTTATATTGAGATTCATGATGAAGGAGATTCACTTTAGCATTTCTCCCCCAATATGAAACTAAGAATCTAATTGCATAGTCATGCAAGGAAGTAGAGGTGGCAAAGGCAGAGCCAGAAACCAAAGTTCTAGGCTTTGCCGGTAACATTCAACCCATTATTCAGTAGATAAAGTGGCTTCCAGAACAGATTCATAGGCTGCTAGAAGGATGGATATATTCTGGATTCTGAGGTTGTTTTTAGATGTTCTAAATCAAGAAGCCAAACATTTCAGGTCATGGCCTTACAGTCATGTGACTTTTGTGTATATGCTGTCTCAACTCAATTGGTTGATTTTTGTTCACTATCATATTAAGAAAATTCTTGAGTCTTAATCTTGTTTGCAAATTCTGAAAGATCTCTTACACATTTTATCAAAGATCAAAAGAAAAATACCATACCAGAAAATTCAAGTCTTTTAAATGTAGTTCACATTTACATGATACAACATTATCATATAATTTTATAACATTATTGCTGTGAATTGGTCACCTCCTTTGCAGGATCTCACTTGATGTGCCTCAGAGCCTGGTTTGTTAAGCTCCTCAGTTGACCAGCTCAATCTGCCCCCAAGCGTCACTAGTTTCCAGCCATTAATGCAGGACAATGACTCTACGGTTATCACAGGCTCATACAATGTTCTTGTTACCAGCAGTTCAAAGTTTTTAATGAGCTCACTATGAGATTTAGAATAAGCGAACATGTCCCAAAAGAGTTATTTTTGTGTAATGCTTCTTATTAAGCTCTTAAGTATAATTGCTAGCACTTACATTAGAAAAGAAAAAAAAGTCACTTGCCAAGAATTCTTGAAAAATAATTCTCAGATGTGTGAGTGTTGGAAACAAACTTGCATTTAGTGATTCTTCAAAGTCCAAAATGAAGCCCGAGGCACCGTCTCACCTGCACTTTTTTCAAGAGAATAAGAGCCTCGTATTCCCCACAAAAGATAGCCCGAGGCACCGTCTCACCTGCACTTTTTTCAAGAGAATAAGAGCCTCATATTCCCCACAAAAGATCCACCACCACCACCACCACCATCACCATCATGACCACTATCCATCCATCATAATCATATTCATAGTCTTCATCATTAGTTCATAGGTAAGTGACAAAAGGGACAAGACACTTCTCCACAAAAGAAACTTATCAACAAGAGAAAACAAAGCCAGAGAATGAGAGTTGCTTCCGAAAGGATCATCTTTCTAGAGTCAAAGTGATTCTCTATAATGAAATGACAAGGTACCACCTGGCTCAATGGACAACTACAGGGCCAATCAGCAATCATCCAACTATCTCAGTAATTAAATAAAACCAACCAAAGCACACTCGGCTTCCTTACATAGTGTGCCTAAAACAGAAATGGGAACAAGTAGCCAGGAAGTTAATGTCATTGCACCTATACTTAAGAAATTAGTAACTGTGAGAATAGGTTTATTTGAGCCAGGTTATGAAAGATGAGGAAGTATGTGTTTAAAGCCTGCTGAGAAGGGTAACAGTTAGTGCACACAAATGATGACAGAAGATTCAGTAAAGGCAACCAACAGCCCTGTCAGGACCCAGAAAGGGTGCTAGGCTCTCCATCCCCTAGTGGGATGCATTTGTTTTGCATTCAACTCTAATTCAGAAGTCCTAGCCCTACAAGCAGAGTACAATGGTATGCACTTGTAATCCCAGGACTGGTGAGGCAGAGACAGGAGCTTACTGGGGCTCTCCAGTGAGCCAGCCTAGCCTACTTGAGAAGTTCAAGGCTAGTTT